TTTTTTTTCCTTGGCCCCCCTTACAAAAGATTCTATTTAGTGGGAAAATCCATATTAAGACTTGTTTGGAGTTAAGGTTCAAAAGGCAAACGCAGAATAAATTGACGGCTGTTCTCTCTCTGGAAGAGCCCGGATTCTTCAGCGGGTTTTGCAGTGGTCAGGGGCCACTGGCCTTGTGGGCAGCGACTGACTGTCTGAAGCCATGTGCCATCTGGGAACGGGCCGCCCTGCCGGGGCTGGGGACAGGACTTCAAAGCTGGGGGGTGTCCTTCTCATGGGAGTGGGGTGGACCAGGCAATGCCACGCATCCGGTAAGCAGGCACCCCGGACGCCCTCGGGTCCTTTTAGGATGGAGAGGCCTTTGTCTGCCCTTCTTCCCTAAACGTATATTCACAGTCCTAGTTGATGCTGGGTGAGCATGGGGGACTAGAAGCTTTGAGACTAGAAGCTTGGGTCTTTTGTTGTTGTTGTGATTATGAAAGAAATAAACCATTTCTGTGAGCCCCTAAAAATATTAGGGGACCAGTGCCCACTGCCTAGTGGAGTGGTCGCCCTGCAGCCCAGACTCGTGGGCTGTCTGGGATCAAGACCCTGATGGTAAAAAAAAAAAAAAGATGCCAATATTTAAACCCCAAACCCATATCAAGTCTTATTACATAATGTTCCTGGCTCACCAAGGCACTGGATCTTTCCCTTGTTCACGGTTGGATCTTTGAGCAGAGAAATGCAGGGAAAGGAGACATATAGATGGCTAACAAACACATGAAAAGATGCTCAACATCACTCATTATCAGGGAAATGCAAATCAGAACCACAATGAGGTACACACCAGTCAGGATGGCTGCTATCCAAAAGTCTACAAGCAATAAATGCTGGAGAGGGTGTGGAGAAAAGGGAACCCTCTTACACTGTTGGTGGGAATGTAAACTAGTACAGCCACTATGTAGAACAGTGTGGAGATTCCTTAAAATACTGGAAATAGAACTGCCATATGACCCAGCAATCCCACTCCTGGGCATACACACCGAGGAAACTAGATCTGAAAGAGACACGACCCCAGTGTTCATCGCAGCACTGTTTATAATAGCCAGGACATGGAAGCAACCTAGATGCCCATCAGCAGATGAATGGATAAGGAAGCTATGGTACATATACACCATGGAATATTACTCAGCCATTAAAAAGAATTCATTTGAATCAGTTCTAATGAGATGGATGAAACTGGAGCCCATTATACAGAGTGAAGTAAGCCAGAAAGATAAAGACCAATACAGTATACTAACGCATATATATGGAATTTAAAAAGATGGTAACGATAACCCACTATGCAAAACAGAAAAAGAGACACAGATGTACAGAACAGATTTTTAGACACCATGGGAGAAGGAGAGGGTGGGATGTTCTGAGAGAACAGCATTAAAACATGTATATTATCTAGGGTGAAACAGATCACCAGCCCAGGTTGCATGCATGAGACAAGTGCTCGGGCCTGGTGCACTGGGAAGACCCAGAGGAATCGGGTGGAGAGGGAGGTGGGAGGGGGGATCGGGATGGGGAACACATGTAAATCCATGGCTGATTCATGTCAATGTATGGCAAAAACCACTACATTATTGTAAAGTAATTAGCCTCCAGCTAATAAAAATAAATGGGGAAAAAAAAGGAAAAAAAAAAAAAACGCAGGGAAAGCTCCTCTGGGCTGTGTATTCCTCTTCTCAGAAGGACTCAGGATCACAGCTTCTCTGTTCCTTTAGCTGCTCATTTTCACTTGATGGGCTTCCCTGCTGTCTCGGATGCTAAGGAATCCACCTGCACTGCAGGAGACCTGAGTTCCATCCCTGGGTCGGGAAGATCCCTCAGAGAAGGAAATGGCAACCCACTCCGGTATTCTTGCCTGGAGAATCCCATGGACAGAGGAGCCTGGCAGGCTACAGTCTGTGGGATCACAAAGACTCAGATGTGACTGAGCGACTGAGCAACTCACACTTTTCACTTGACCGTCACGTAGGTTTTCACGCCACTTTCATTCTTTCTGGGTAATCGAAGCCAATAAAGCCAACGGTTGTTGCTTTCCTGTGGGGTTAATGCAGTGATGGAAAAGCCACGCCAGGAAGGCAGCTGTCCTGCTTCTCTACTGGTTGGCTTTCTGCTCACAGCTTAGGTAACTTCATTTGGGGAAGTTTAAAGTAAAATCACGTTTTCACGGCTCTGTGTGCACAGCGACCATCACCTTGAATGAGACGTCCTCGAGACAGGCTGCTGTGTGCCCTCATCCGTGGTGCCTGGGTGCTGGGGAGCACCGGGGTGCGGGTGGATCCCGGACAACCTTTTGCAATGATTGGAACCTGTGTCTGAAGGTCAGGGTACAGGCAGGCACTGAGTCGTGGACAGAAATAGTAGGGGAGGGAGGTTGTGAGAACATCCCATTGGGCCCTTCTGTCTTCTGGCTGTTCTTGAAACATTCTTCCGGCCACTGGGGAGCTAGCCACACCTGGGCCCATGCATCGTCTATGCACACGGGGTGCAGGGCTCTGCGGTGATGGCAACACAGACCACCCCCTGGGGGAAGCCCCCATCCTCTCCCAGTCAGCCCCGCAGCCCTGGTGCCTCCTCTCCATTCAGAGGCCTGCATTTTCTCGCCTGTGCAGGCAACTGTGCCTACACTCACACGGCTGCTCTAAGAGTCACAGACTTAATGTACCTGAGTGCTTAGCAGAAAAATATCCGTGGTAGAGTTGATTCTTTCAAACTGTGGTGCTGGAGAAGACTCTTGAGAGTGCCTTAGACTGCAAGGAGATCAAACCGTCAATCCTAAAGGCGGTCAACCCTGAATATTCATTGGAAGGTCTGAGGCTGAAGCTCCAGTACTTTGGCTACTTGATGAGGAGCTGACTTATTGGAAAAGACCCTGATGCTGGGAAAGATTGAATGCAGGAGGAGAAGGGGGTGATTGAGGATGAGATGGTTGGATGACATCACTGACTCAAAGGACATGAATTTTAGCAAACTCTGGGAGACGGTGAAGGGCAGGGAAGCCTGGCATGCTGCAGTGCGTGGGGTTGTAAAGAGTCAGACACAGTTTAGCAACTCAACAACTGACATGAGTACTTGCCGTGGTTGTTGTTGCTCTTGCCTTTTTCGAAGTTTTTACTCGGCACGCATAATTGGGAGAGAGGAAAGGGTAGAGAAGGCCCTGAAGGTGGTCTGGGTCCCTCTGCTCTCTCCTGGGAGTCAGCCTGGGCCCCACCACCTGGGCTACCTCATCTGCCTTCCTGCCTCCTCCCTGTGGTCAGTGGCCTGATATCTGAAGGCGGTGGGGGAGCATCTCCAGGGTGAAGTTAGAGATGCTCATGGCCCAGAGTGAACCCCGTGCCCACCAGAAAAGGTGAGGGCTTCCCCAGACTCTGGTGTTTGAAAGACCTACCCCGTGTGTCCCAGGTTGTACTGTAACTTTTAAATCTTTTTTTTTTCTTATTTTTGGCAGTGCTGAGTCTTGGTTGCTACATGGGCTTTTTCTCTAGTTGCAGCGAGCGGGGGCCGCTGCCTAGCTACAGTGCTTGGGCTTCTCATCGTGGAGACTTCTCTCCTTGTGGAGCTCGGGGTCTCGGACCCGTGGGCTTCAGCAGCTGCAGCTCCCCAGCTCTAGAGCACAGGCTCAGAAGTTGTGGTGCTCTGGCTTCGTTGCTCTGTGGCATGTGGGATCTTCCCAAATCAGAGGTCGAACCCATGTCTCCTACATGGCTGGGCAGATTCTTTGCCATTGCGCCACCAGGGAAGCCCGCTACTGTAAGTTTTAACATTCTGAAACCTCAGTGGATGTTCTTAGGGCCCCAGATATATGGATTGTTTTGCTTGAAACTCCTTTGAGTATTTCATCAACTAAATGTATTAGCTGAAGATGAAAGCTCTTAGACTGTGTGTAAGGGTGTGCCATCCCATAGCATGTGCTGTTCAGAGCAGGTTTCTGCAGAATATTTGGAGACGCTAAAGCCTGAATCCAGGCTGGGTACTCAGAGGAAACGCGAGTTCTATTGCATTGTGTGGAATTGTAATAGTGTGCGTTGGAAGGTTATGTGGCTAGATAGAGATGAATAGAAAATGACTATTAGTGTGCAAATGTAGAGTTTTAAAAAACGCATTAGTAACAGGCTAATAATGTCCGTTTTCCTTTTTGCTGCTGGAGCCCAAGAAAGGTGGAAAAAGAAGCTAGCAAAATGGCACAGCCTTCTAAATATTTCCCGCTCTCTCATCTTCTATTTTTAGTACTTTCAGACCCTTTTCTATTAACCTATGATCTGGTTAAAACGTTAATTGCCTTGCATTAAAAGAAAAGCTTCTAGCTTTAGAGTCCAAGATAGTACTTAGGTTTTTTTTAAAATAAAACATTTCAAAACCATTTGCAGACCTTAATTTCCTATGATTAGAGCATATCTGATTGTCTGAAGTTGTCTTATTTTATCCTTACATTCTGTGTTCTTGAATTCACTTTTGAATGAAATCCATTTCTTCATTTATCAGGGAAAATTTGAATTTGATGGCATGGCTGTTTTGTGTAATTTAAATATCCAATACTGGGTTATGTGTGCTCGTTGCCTCAGTGGTGTCCAACTCTTTGCAATCGCATGGACTACAGCCCACCAGGCTCCTCTGTCCATGGGATTTCCCAGGCAAGAATACTGGAGTGGGTTGCCATTTCATCCTCCAGGGGATCTTCCCAACCCAGGCATTGAACCCACTTCTCCGGCATTGGCAGGAGGATTCTTTACCACTTCGCCACCTGAGAAGCCTGGTATTGGGTTATTTATGTAGAAAAACGTGTTAGTTAATAAGAAACTTAAATTTTCGAAAGTTCAAATTTTTCTACTTCTGAAGTCCCTTTTAAAACCTGATCTGATTCGACCTTGACTGATGTTGATAACATTTTGATATTAATAACAAGTCATGGGTGCCACAGGCTTGCTAAATTGTCCCTTTGCGATGTTCTTTTTCCCTCTCCTTAGGAAGTTGAAGACCACGTGGCATTTTTAATCACAGTGCCGACTGCCCTGGCGATTTTCTTTGCAATCTTCATCCTGGTGTGCATCGAGTCGGTGTTTAAGAAGCTGCTACGCGTCTTCTCTTTGGTGATATGGATCTGTCTCGTGGCCATGGGCTACTTGTTCATGTGTTTCGGGGGCACCGTCTCTCCCTGGGACCAGGTAAGATGTCGCAATGCTTTCTGTGTTTCTTTTTCTGTGTTTTGATCTGTGACATACCAGGTTCTATACAGCTGGCCCCAGACTGTGAACGGAGGCTGAGAAGACCATCTTCGGAAATAGTGGGCCCATGGGGCTCTGCAGGGTGAAGTCACGCGGTGCCTGCTTCCACTCATCAGACCTGCCGACGGCCAGGGGGCCGCCCAGGCTCACCTTGTCACCTTTTTCCGATGGCTGAGGCTGCGTTTGCAACTCGCACCGTGCCTCGGTATTTCCTTCTCCTCCAGCCTCTCGAGTCTCCCATTGCTGGGGTGGGCACCGCTCTCTGCGCCTCGAAGTCACAAAGATTGAACTAGAGCTCTTTGCTCAGGGACCGGATCTCCAGATTCGGTGTCAACATGATGACGCCACAGCAGCAGGGGGACGCGCTGTTCCTCGTGTTGAACCCGGGAGGCTCTCGGTTTAGAAGAGGGCCATGTCTGGGGGAGGCGAGGTCTTTAGGAGACCGTAGTCCAGTGGGCTTTTCCTCGGGTGTTGGGGCCACGTGGCTCTCGTCCACTGGCTGCTTGATGAGATGGTTCTAGGCGCGGGTGCAGGTATCCTAGTTACTAGCTTCAGGCTTGACACTGACGCCAAGGGGTTCTGTCACCATCGAGGGAGGGAGGAAGCTGAGTGCCAAGAAGGCTGTTGCTGAGCTGCTGGGGGCCAAGAACCCCTGGGGAGAGAGAGGCGCAGGAACCACAGTCGTTAGGAGACTCCCCAGAATTGCTGGGCAGGCCAGGAGAAGAGAGACTCAGGGTGGGACACACAAAAGGATTCAAGTGCCGATGTGTGTGTTACTTTCAAATATCTTTCGATGTTGATCTCTAACATAATTCCACAGTGAAAAGAGAGCAGACTCTGTCTGATTTCAGTACCTTTAGACCATGCAGTTTTTGCACCTTGTTTTGTGTCCTTCGTTTATAGTCTATGGGAGCTTGAATAGAATCTGTATCCTACTGTTGTGTGAATGTTGTATAAATCTTAATTATGTTGAAATGGTTCACAGTGCTTTTCAGGTCTACTCTATTCCTTCTACTTTCCTGTCTGTCCCTTCTATTAATTTTTGACACTTTCATATTGAAACTCCCAACTAAAAACCTTCATTCATCTAGTTGAGAAATAATTGTAATATCTAGTAGAACTATGTGTAACCTTGTTCTGTATTTTTCAAGTCTCCTGTAAATGTGTTATAATACTTTCAAAATTTGTAAAATAAAACAGGAAGAGGAAAAAAAACAGGGTTCAAGTGCCAGGGCAGGGGCCTGAGCTGGAGAGAGCCCTCGGGGAGAATGGGGTTTCTGGAGAGTTCTGTCCCGTGATCTCAGACAAAGCATCCTCGTCTTTGCACCTCAGTTCCTCCTGTGGAGGGAGAGGCTAGGCAGAATGGACTCGGGTTGCTCTCTCTGGCTGTAAAGGATGCTGGACGGTGGCCCGGATGGAGACGATGCTGTCCCTCTCCCAAAGAGGCTCCTGTGCTCGAGGAAGCTCACCTGGCGTCTCCTCCTCACTCCCTCACTCAAGCCTTTTGCAGCGCTGGGCGCCCCCCTCCCCACCACGCCTCTGCTCCCCGTCTGTTCTGCGCATGCCCTCACCCACTGCTCTCAGTGGCACACGTGGCCCGCCGTCCCTCCGCCTTCACCCCGGTGCACGACAGAAGCAGGAAGCAGGTTAAGAGCATCCTTTGCCGTCTGGGGCGTGGACCCCGGGTCTCTTCTAGCACCGCAGCCGCCTTTTAACAACATAGCTTTCAAAGAAACCTTCCTATCTGGAGGCTTCCCTCGTAGCTCAGTTGGTGAAGAATCTGTCTGCAATGCAGGAGACCCCAGTTCAATCCCTGGGTCAGGAAGATCCCGTATAGAACGGAATGGCAACTCACTCCAGTATTCTTTCCTGGGGAATTCTATGGACAGGGAAACCTGGCAGCCTACAGTCCATGAGGCCCCAAAGAGTCAGACACAACTAAGCGACGGACATGTTCACTTTGCTTGACTTCCGTTTACTCAAGACCGATTCCCAGCTGTTGGTTGGCTGGCTCTGCTTCTTGGCTTTAGCTTGGATGCTGTTGTTTACAACTTGTGCTGAGATTTTTCACCTCTGCCCCTGCCCATGATCCCACCCACATCAGGGTTGCTGGCCTCACGCCGCCAGGACCCTGGGCAGGGTGGGCTCCTGCATGGAGTCTCAGCCCCATCAATGGGGCAGGCGGGGGGCCGGGGCGGGGGGGGCCGGCCTCCCGCATGGCCTGGGCACACCTCTAGGGGCACAGCTGTTCGGGGCCACTTGCCTCCTGCTGCGGGGCTGCTCACACCTGTTGCCCGAAGAGGGCCACTTTGAACGAATTAATTTATTCTTTTGACTTTGTATTTTATATTGGAGTGTGGGAGGAGGGCATGGCAACCCACTCCAGTACTCTTGCCTGGGGAATCCCATGGACAGAGGAGCCTGGTGGGCTACAGACCCCGGGCTCACATAGAGATGGACATGAATGAGCAACTCACACACACACACACAGTTGATTAAGGGCTTCCCAGGTGACGCTAGTGGTAAAGAGTCCGCCTACCAGCGCAGGCGACTCAGAAGACGCGGGTTTGACTCTGGGTCAGGAAGATCCCCTGGAGTAGGAAATGGCAACCTACTCCAGGATCCTTGTCTGGGAAATGCCACGGACTGAGGAGCCTGGTGGGCTGCAGTCCTTGTGGTTGCCGAGAGTCGGACAGGACTAGAGACTCAGCACTCGCACACACACTGTGGGGCCGGATGCGCCCACTTAGAAGGAGATGCGGTGTGCAGGAGAAGAGTTGAGCTGGGCACCCAGGGGTGGAGGAGAGGGAATATATATATATATTCTTTTTCTAATTATTTTCCCTTTTAGCTTCTTGCATAGTATTGAGCAGAGCCCCGTGTGCTGTGCAGTCAGTCCCTGTTGGTTGTCCAAACACCTGAGAAATTACTTGAGCTGAGTGATTGGAGCTCATCCTTTGACTTGTTTGTGTGAGTGGCCATGTCATCTATGAATAGGAAGCTTTACTTCTTTCATTCCAATGTTAATGTCTAATTTCTTTTTCTGGACATGTGCACATAATTAGTGTGTGTTAGTTGCTCAGTCGTGTCTGACTCTTTGCGACTCCATGGACTGTAGCCCACCAGGCTCCTTTGTCCATGGGATTCTCCAGGCACATCATTAGAACCGCCAGTAAAATACTAAATGCAAGGGGAAAAAAAACAAAACAGAAGCGGCCACTTGAGCCCCATTCCTCTGCTGGAGTCTGAACTCCTTCCCGACACTCCTGATTGTTCAGGAGGGGACCTGAAATGCGGTCATTCTGCCCAGTTAACCCAAGTTGGCTCTCTGGCGTCTTTTGGGGTCAGCATTACAGATGCCGGCCGCTCGATGGACACTGACCTTCAAAAGTGTTAGTCAGTTCACTGCCCTCCAGGCTTGATCCCAGCCAGGATGCTCCCACGTGCAGTGCTGGTGTGAGAGGGGCTGGGTGCACCCATGGGGATGGTCCCACGGGGCCCCCCTCACTGCTGACAACAGTGGCAATTTCGGGGGTCCCAGGGGCCCCGTGAGGCTCAGTAACTTGCAGAAGGGCCTACAGTACCCTTTGAAAGCTGTCAGTACTTATACTTACACGTTTCCCAGGTGGTGCTAGTGGTAAAGAACCCGCCTGCCAGTGCAGGAGCTATAGGAGACCTGGGTTTGATCCCTGGGTGGGGAAGATCCCTTGGAGGAGGGCATGGCAACCCACTCCAGTATTCTTGCCTGGAGAATCCTGTGGACAGAGGAACCTGGCGGGCTGTAGTCCATGCGGTCACAAAGAGTCGGATGTGACTGAAGTGACTTAGCTCACACACATGGTTTCTTACAAAGAACCCAGTTTAGTATCAGCCAAGGGGAGTGTTCAGGAGAACTGCAGAGTGTGGAGCGTCTGTTGTCTATCTGGAGACATGACAGCTCTGCCCTCCTAGCTGCAGTATATTGTGCCATGCGTGGGGAACAGCACCTCCCTGGGAGAGTCGTCAGAGCCTCATGTGCCCAGGGTGTTGCCTGGGACTAACCGTGTGCCCCCTGCACGGCTGGCTGTGGGTCTCAGCCCCTCTGCAAACAGAGTGGGCACTGTGTGACCCTGAGCCTCCTTCCCGAAGCACATCTCAGACAGTCTGCTGGCCAGAGCCTGCAGGGACACAAACAGAGTCCCATCGGGCGGGGCGTTCCTGGGGCCCGAGAGATCCCCTCCCCGGAGCCCAGGGCAAAGGCCGATCTCGCTCTGCTGAGGTTGGTTCTTCCCCGCATGTGTGAGTGGAGTCCTGCTCTCAGCCATCAACAGCCAGCACACAGCTCAGAACCGGAGCCGCCAGCGCTGGTGTCGTCTGGACGGCGCCGCCCCTGTCTGGGTCCTTTCCCTCCACAAACCCGTTCCTCTTTTCATAGGTCCGTGGGGTGGGCACCGTGGTACTCGAGCTCACCCAGCACCCAGACTTCCACACAGGTCCCTTGATCACAGCCAGGCTGCTGGGGAGCGAGCGGAACAGGAGATTTGAACCCAAGGGGTCTGACTCCAGAGGCCAGTCTTACCTGCCATACCGTAGTTCTCAACTGGGAGCAGTTTCACCCCCAGGGACATTTCCCAGTCAGGCATGTCTCTGACTGTCACAGCCTGGATAGGGGTCACTTAGTATGTAGAAGCCAGAGATGCTGATGTGAATCCTGCAAACAGCCTACCACGCACAGGCCAGCAGCATCTCCAAGGATCGCCCAGCCCGAGTGTCTGCAGGACTGAGTCTGAGAAGCTGTGTTTTCCAAGGCTGCCTGTCCATGTTGTCTTTTAAAGAGGCTCAGTAGGCGGGATTGTCCTGAGTGGCCAGGGCACCACTTCAGACTGCCAGTTCAGCTTTTGATTAGAGAGGCATGATTTTGCAGCATGTAGACTGGAGAACATACCTGCTGGAGAAAGGGT